GCGCCGGACTTGAAATCCAGGCTGGTCTCGGCTGCGGGTTCAAGTCGCGCTCTGACCACTAAGCTGGAGTTGTTTCTCAGTAGACCCTAGTTTAACTCCTCGGCCACGCTTGTAAATAGCCAACTGGTCTGCCTCCTGCCATTTGGGATTTTTAACCATGTTATGTTCGTTTGCATTACTTGTTCATCATTTGGTTTCCGGCATTGGCCCTGAAAACCCTCGTTGGGCAAGTGGTCAATTAAGATATTTATATTTTATTCATTTTATTGCTGGAATAGGCCAGTCATTGTTTTAAACCAAACCAGCTGAACGATTTGACACTTGTTTTCCGGCAGGCGGTTTCTATCAAGATGAGTTTGCCTACACTGGAAGACTATTCCATGGCATGGGGTGTAAAATTTGTTCGTTAGGTCATTATGTACCCCCTCACGCTGCCCCAGGAAGAGCCATCACAGAGTGTATTTTATGTCCTCAAGGTTGGTACAAGGCGGTATAAAATTTAAGGCAGGTTTGTTGGCAAGGCCTATCAATTACGATGATTTTTCATATCCAGATTACCGAGAAACCTTACAAATATTCAGACTGTCAACCTTTAAGTGATCGCAAATGAATATTACAGCCACTATGGCAACGGCTGCCAATACGTTTTTGAATTATCAGTCAACTGAAAATTAATGTCCACCCTAATAAACGGATAAAAGCACTTCATGGCCACTTTTAGTTTCTTGGCATCAAGTTGTATTAAAGTTAAAAGAGAAAATATCATTGTTATAAAATAATATTAATAAAGAGCTGATACCAGGATCCATGCGTCACTTTCAGGTACCGAAAATATCCAATTTGCGGGATTCAAAGGGTGCAAGTGTCTCCCGAACTTTTATCGATTGGATCGATTTGGCCCGTGTACACGATGTCCTTTTCAAGGACTCGCCTGCCAAAACGAATCAGTGCGACTGCAACCAGGTTTCTTCTGGAAATGGGCAACAAACGAAAGTCTTTCGAAATATGAAGAATTTTCTGAAGATCTTTCAATCACTGATAACTCATACAAACAGCTTAGATTTCAAGGAGTAATCCCACAAGTCTACAAATGCCCAGCCTCTGACGCCTGTCTCGGAGATATGAAGTCGAGTTGTTCCCATGGTTATGATGGTCCCTTATGCGCAGTGTGCAGTAAAGGCCATTACCAACTGTTGAACCGTTGTCGAAAATGTCCCAGGATGCTTTGGTTTGTTTTACAAGTGAGCGGGATCGTCATTATCATTGCTATTCTCGCGGTGAGCATCTTTCTGGGCAAAAGAAGAAAATGCGCTTCCAATAGGACGGTAACTGACTTGATCCTAGCAAGACTTAAGATTGTTATTGGGTTTTACCAAGTCACTTCTGGTACATTGAACACATTTTCGTACGTTGAATGGCCGAGTGCATTATTAACAGTTGTGTATTATGCCAATATGGTTCAACTAAACCTGTTGGAGATTTTTCCTTTGCAGTGCTTCGTTGACAATTTAACCATAAACGTATATACCAAGTTATTGCTGGTTGTAGGGTCAAACACTGCAATTGTTTTTCTAGCAGCGTTCATTTACCAAATAAGGAAACTGATGCTTATCCACGGTAAAAAGCTAGCCAATGCTGAGCTGGCTGAGTCTCTTTCCTCCGACAAAACGCAAATCTATCGCGTCGTTTGCCTGCTGATTTTTGTGACATACCCCTGGACGTGCACCACCATCTTCAATCTTCTCTCGCCAACGTGTCAGCGGATTTGCTCCACCGCCGACTCGTGCCAGTACTTCTTGCGCGCCGACTTTTCAGTCCAGTGCTTCACTAAAAAGTACAACAGATATGTGATAGCGGTCTATCTCTTACTCCTTCTCGTTGTTGCTATACCAGTTATAGTTTTGCTTTTGCTGTGGAAATATCACCACAGAAAAGTTTATGAGGAAGCGGAAGCCCAAGTTTGCAAGGGTCGAGAAATATCCAACGGCCTGAGCTTTCTCTATGAAAACTACGCACCGCAGTGCTGGTTCTGGGAAATCATCGAGTTAGTGAGAAAAGTGTGGGTGACCTCAACGCTCTTTCTGATGGGAGCAAACACACGAAGTCATCTTGGCGCAGCTGCCATTATATCCGGGATCTACTCCATTTTGGTGGCGTATTACAAACCAATCAGTGACACGTTTGAACACTGGCTGCAGCTGGTGTCACTTATCGCCAACTTTGTCACTATGAACGTTGGAATGCTGTTGAAAATACCAACAGAAGAGGATTCATCAAGTACCTTTGGCGACAGGGAATCTGACTTTGTTTCCGTCATCCTGGTGGCTGTAAATGTCACCATTATTGCGCTAATGATGGGTAGGTCGTCACATTAAATACTGCTAATTAAATCTTGACGGTTCCACTTGTGTTATTTTCTGTCTAACAAAAAGATTCCTTGTTGTCGTGCGTCTGTTCAGTAATAGATCACAGATGATGTCAAAATGTGGTAAGAACAATTACTGAACAGATGCACGGCAGCATGAAATCTATGTTTTATCTTATGTTTTATATAATAAACACATAAAAGCACTTTAATGACGCCATCAATGCGTCTCCCTCCATCAGATTATAAGCAAGAGCCAATCAAAATGTGAGAATAATATGACTGATAATTTGATTATATAATCCCGATCGTATGATAAAAATATGTTGTCTCCGATTAGTTAGAGAGTACGGTACACGAACTAGATTAACTAATCAAAGCGCAGCGAAATCAAAACTAAAACAAGGAGACAATTTCTAAGTCTTGTTAAAACCACTTTGAGAGAACTGATAACCAATGTATGAATGTATATGAATGAATTAAAATTCGAAATCCAATGCAATCAATTCTCGCTATATCAACATCTTCAAGATGGATCGAAATGTGTTTATTTGCTTAATAGTCTTAAATAGCCGACCTCGATTAGAGGTTTGTATGTTACAAACTCGAGGGCCTCTCATGGATTTTATCATTGAGGGAGCAAGGGATACCTTGACTATCCATAGAAACTTATAGCGAACTCCTTAAAATGACAAGAGAATTTATCAAAAGTGAACAATTAATTTATTAATATATGATGAATGTTTATGGTGTTAAGCGGAACATGTAGCTCTCCCTTTCCCGGGGATCCTCTAAATCCCTCCTTCCCTCTTGAATCATTTCCTATTCATCAACAATGGAAGATTGAACGCTAAAGGTGTCGGTGGAGGATTTCATGACTGCCCATGAACTGTATTTTCGTCGAAGCAATTAAACGAGAGGAGGAAAATCCCGGGAAATAAAGCTTGTTAGTAATTTAATCACTTTTTCTTTCCCAGTGCATTACATATACACCTTCATCACTGCAATTAAGAGTGTAAGAAGCAAGCCTCAGTGTGGAGCCGAGTGTTGCGTGACATTCACGATGATAATGGTCGGAGCGGGAGAGGATGCTACAGACATAGACAGCGGAGGAATTCAAAACTCGACAAGGTCTCAAACTGTTACTTAAAACACCTCTTGGATTTACAGAGGATTTCATTCTTGTATCATGGACAACCAATTATTTGCTGCCCTCTTTAGAAGCCTTTCAGAAAAAAGAGAAAAAATAATAAGGAAACTATGTTAACTGGATTTTAAAATCTAATTTAGGTTTAAAACATAGGATTTACTTTAGTTAAATGTTGCTTAAATGTACCAAGGTAGATTGAATAATCAAGGGGCGGATCTT